TCCAACCAACTTCTATACTAAAATATAAGCCCGCCTTTTAAACATACATTGATATTCTTTTTGTTAGGGAGTGAAGAGTAAGAAATCAAATAGCTGTCGAGGCAGCAACTAGTGTGCCAAGGATAATTGTGCGATCATTATTTTGATGGGCTGGTTCGAATTTATAAGAAAAAAAAGTAAAAGAAAATGTATGCGAAATTAGTATACAATCCATACAATTCATATAATTTATTTATGGCCTCTACTCATCATTCAAAAGAAGTCCAGGGAAGTCGGTTGGAGAATACTGCATAAACATGATTATATAATTTTAAAGGGATTTTCAAATAAGTAAATTGACCTGCATAAGCCTGCCTGGGCAATCTATATTTACATGCAAGCATCTGACACTACTTTCATCACTGCATTATGAAATAGTAGAATATAATGATCCTAATCGAGTGAATACATTATTTTCATATATTTGCTGATAATTATAATTTGAGAAACTTTAGAGGATTCGTCAGGAAACAATAATATTAGAGTGATGAAATCATACCTGGAAAGGTGTCTATATACCTTCCATTCTTCATGAATTAAAAAATTGTATGATATTTTTGAGTGTGTACCATAAGTATTCTTATTCATAAACTTGAAAACAATAATTTAATTTGTCATGTTTGTATACAAAATAGAATTTATGTAGGGATCGTAACGAAATAAATCTCCACCATCTCAATATCAGTATCTTAAAAATGGAAATATATAGACAACATTACAGTCATAATTATGCGGTCAGTAGAATACTCATGACATTAATGCAGTATCGACCAAGTTGCCAGTTTGTCTGTGACGATCGGTCTTCACATTTTTTTTAAAAGTCGTATGTACATGTGTACTATGAAAACATTTCTTTGATTTTCTCACATCCTTTTGATTATAATAAATTGGAGATATCCGCTATGCAAGGTGCTCATCAAGTCACTCCAATATTAGCCCGGCTCTCGCCAGGGTACCGATTCCGTTGCTAACAGCGTTCAAGGAAATCCTTCCTACCGGTACCCATTATTAACACGTGGATGAAGAGTGGCAAATTTAGATTGATGTCTTTTGAAAAGGACACTAGTGCCGCGCCGGGACTCGAATTCGCGACCTTCGCATCTCTATTTAGTAAAGTGTTGATGGCACCTCTACATGACGAGCAAAAATTCCGCAAATTTTGGAAATACTGGATCTGATTGTTATTTTTCTGGTTTTGATCGAATTAACTTGCTTTTGAGCTGGACTTGCCATCTGACGCATGGTATATTTAGATGCACCTGCATGAACGGTGTCCTTGTAGATGGCTTTCAAATATGAAATGGGTTAACGAGGGGAATGCCCTAACCCAAGGACAGCTGTTGATATCTAATATGAAACGCAAGGAAGCTTCTCCCTTCCTCATATCATCAGCTGGACTGATGGACCCAAACCGGAGCAAGAAATGGACCTCAAAAGATGAGTGATTGTTCAAAATATCTCCAACCATGCCAAAACGGAAGGTGTTCAAATTGACTTCCAAAGCTATTTTGGGATGATTTATTAATTTTGTTCATTTTTTTCTTCTATAGATCGTTTATAGTGAAAGTGACCGAACCCATTCAAAAATTGTATGGACTTTACGATTTTCATAATTTTGTTGACAAAGTCGGGGTACATACTATTCGAGGAACGCCCTATTAAACATACGCTTGAGTTCCTCTCTGTTTCATCAAGATTTTCAATATATCTTGCTATAAAAACTTGGACATAAAAATACAAACAAGGACAACAAAAATCAATAAGTATCTCCAGGCTGAGTATCTCTCTACTTTTAAACTTGGGCTCTTTGTAGATTTTTTGAAATCCTCGCAACATCTTCGATTTAACTTCAAGGCTTCAATTTCTCTGCAATATGTGCTGAAATTTGTGCATTTTTGTCATCCCAATGTTTATAAGACATCCAAAACAAATGAGAATATTTTCTATTATATGAAGGGGAAGGGGTGGCTTCAGAGAATTCTAAAATGGCAAGTGAAAATGTGAAGAAAAATAAATTGTTAAAGATATGTTTTGGGGGATAGGACTTATCGATATATTTTGTCATACTAAAATGGGCACCTGAAAAGTTAAGAATCTATTTCTATTTTCCTTGTCGGAGATTTTCCACAGACCTGTATCCACAATCCAATCCCAGGAAAGAGAATCCTGGATCACTAATTTCTCTTTTGTCAAAAGTATGGGGTTAGGGTTGAGCGTAGGGTTGTGATTAGGTTTTAGATTAGATTCGGGTTTAGGGTTAAGGCAGGGATATGAGAGTTAGAAACACCTCCCTGGTTAGTGTTAGGTATAGTGTTATGTACAGTCCACTAGGGTTGAAGTAAGGAATTCGGTTAGTGAAGATAAATACCGCGGAGTACATGTCGTAGAAGCATGTGTCATAAGCCCTTGATGATCCACCGAGTGTCACTTTGGTGTCACTATGAAGATCATTCGACCACCACATGTGGATGACGATGCATGGCAGCAAGAGGTTGGGCTTAAAACCTGATTAATATTCCACATTACTCTAGAGGGCTGGTGCAATTTAGTTAGGCTGAGGTAGGGTGAGACAGGTGACAAGGGAGAATGAGGAAATGAACAGAAACATAGAAAATAAGAGAACATGAAAAGGGAATGCCCTGTTAATTTCTGCCCGCAGAAATAAAATCCCTGGGAGAAATTGGGTGAGGGAGGTCAGACAAGAATAGAATGAGATAAAAACGAGAGACTGAAGAGACAAACAATGATATAGAGGGTAAGAGATTGAGAAGAGTAAGAGAAAGTAAAGACAGACTAAAATGGAGAAAAGAGTTTCAGCAAGAGAAAGAAGATAAGCGGAATAAAATAAATAGACTGGTAAAAAGAGGATTGAGAGGGAAAGAGGGGAAGAGAGATAAAGAAAGATGAAGAGACATATAGATCGAGACAGAGAATTAAGTGGGGTAAACAAATGAAGGAAGAAGTTGAGAAAGAGAAATCACTAGGGGATAAGGGTCAATAAAATAAGACAGACATAGGTAGAGTGAAGGAGAGAGAGATAGATATAGAGACAGAGAGAATGGAAAAGAAATAGATAGGGAGTAAGAAAGATATAGAAAGAGAGACAGACGGATAGAGACAGAGAGAATGGAAGAGAAATAGATAAGGAGTAAGAAAGATATAGAAAGAGAGACAGACAGATAGAGACAGAGAGAATGGAAAAGAAATAGATAAGGAGTAAGAAAGATATAGAAAGAGAGACAGACAGATAGAGAGACAGAGAGAATGGAAGAGAAATAGATAGGGAGTAAGAAAGATATAGAAAGAGAGACAGACAGATAGAGAGACAGAGAGAATGGAAGAGAAATAGATAGGGAGAAGAAAGATATATTTAAAGAGAGACAGACAGATAGAGAGACAGAGAGAATGAAAGAGAAATAGATAGGGAGTAAGAAAGATATAGAAAGAGAGACAGGCAGATAGAGAGACAGAGAGAATGGAAGAGAAATAGATAGGGAGTAAGAAAGATATAGAAAGAGAGACAGACAGATAGAGAGACAGAGAGAATGGAAGAGAAATAGATAGGGAGTAAGAAAGATATAGAAAGAGAGACAGACAGATAGAGAGACAGAGAGAATGGAAGAGAAATAGATAGGGAGTAAGAAAGATATAGAAAGAGAGACAGACAGACAGAGAGAGAGAGAAAGAAACAGAAGGAGGGAGGGAGGAGGATGCTGACGGTTTTAAGGAAGCTGATTCAGGGATTCAGGAGTGAGGTGTATGTGGTGGTGTATGTATACCCTAATCATCCACATCTCTACATGATGTCCTGCTCTCTATCTTTAGTCGAGCAGGGTGGGTCCCAGCTGCATCAGGAGCTTCCGTCGCTGTCTGATACGTGCTCGGGACGATGCCAAGAAACAAACAACATCCAGAGAGATGGAAAGGCTAAGCCATCCCATATCATCTGTAAGGAGCATAGAAGGGAACTATATCTGTAGCAAAACGAATTAAAGCCTTTCTGGCTCCAGACCGAAATGATATATCCCCATCGATATATCCCTATAGATCTTTCGCTAAAGACACCCATTAAATAAGATATCCTGAAGTATATCCATGTACATCATGAAGATAATTCACAGTAGTCCCGTTACAGTACAAGGAAATAGCTATTTCTGTCAACTTTTGGCAACTATTGTCTCTTTCCTTTTTCCCATGTCTCCTACTAACCAGCTCTCTTCAAATCAAGTTCATTTCATGCTTTCAGTTTCCATGTCATCCATTCTATTTTTTCTCCCATGTTGTATCACACACTACTCACACATTTCTTAGATGTCTACTATTCTCTTGTCTTGTTCTCCTATAGTATTATTTCTATCTCCATCTTTCTTCCCTTCTCTTCCTCCTGCTCTGTACCTCCTCCCATCACAACAGTCTGTACATAATACATGACCATAATGCATCAGACTTGTTCTGTTTATACCTTTAATTTTAATAGAAATTCTATGCATATGTATTTGAAAGCCATGTGAGTTATCACAGACGTAAATGTGTACTTATAAAATAATATTTAACATAACTTATCTTAAAAATTGTCACATAATTTCAGCTATCGTATATGGTGTCTTGTTTCAGCTGGTGATTATTTTTTTATGAGAAAATATGAATATTCCATAAAAGGCATGATAACAGTGAGAAGCACCTTGTGCAAAAAATGGTAGAATGGTGTCGTTAGTATACTTTTCCATTTTAGAACATATATGTATATGTATAATTTCATTGCATTTTAATATACTCTCATACAATTATGAACAATATACGGCAGATTAGAGTCATTTAGCTGTTGGTGGAAAATCTAAAAGAGCGCTCAAATACAAAAGATCAACCTTAAACCAATCATGATAACAAAGACAATGACTTTCTGGTAAATAATCCAATAGCCCATGATCTAGTGACTAAACACTTTTGTCTGATCCCTTTGCACTTTTTTCTTATTAAATGTATAGAGATGTGTTGTTTGAAGGACAGTTAAATGATTTAAAAGATTGAAATAGAGGAGCATTTTTTTGGGAGGGCAGTCCTCTTGAGGATGACTAATAACAAAATCCAAAGAACATTAAATGAATTTTAGGCACAATATGGTATATGCACATGTCTCAATTACGAAGAAATACATATCCTCCAAAAAAAGTGAAATAAATATATCATCTTCCCTTTTCGTTATTTGACATACCCAATTATCTCCAAGATGTTTTCTTAAGGTTTAACAAAGTACACATCAGGCCTGTCTTCATCAGCTTGAGATTCCCAAATATCCCCTATTTGAACTATCCCGATTGCAAATTATTCAGCTAATTTGATATCCCAAGAAATCTTGGTCTAGTTTGCAAAATATCCAGCTATTTCCCAAATAGCTGGATAGTTTGTGCCCGTCTTCATCAGACCGAAGTACGGATTCAAATATCCTGATCCCATCATGCACAACGATTTCCGGTTTTCGGTGTTTGTAAATGAACTAGCTCGTAGCACATGCTCTAACATGCACTGCATGCATGCACAGCCGGTACTTGTTTACGGTTTACAGCGCGGGTAAAATCTTAAATCCGCACTCTGAAGTGCACATGCGTCAATCTTGAGATTATTTTTCAAGCTAGTTTGTGATCAGCGTATCGGTCTGGTGAAGGCGCGATATCGAGCATAGGAATAATATCCCGCGTCTGAAAATAGCGTGATATTTAGCAATCTCAAGCTGATGAAGACCGGCCTATCAAGGACCCCAAACTCCAATCTTGCATTTGTTGTGCGATTAAGTCCTAATTTCTGCCTGAATGACTGGCAGACTGGGAGTGGAGGGTAGGAGGGGAAGGGGAGTTTAAAGTAACACAACGCCGACACAACACCTCCAACTTTATGAGCTGCCGGTCACGAACCAGGACCCCACGTGTATCTACATACCTACATATCAAATCTTTGATGTTCAGACTGCTTCATATTATTTCCATTCATACAACAGAGGGCGAACATATTCAGCTATTTTAGAAATAACCAGCTATATGGGCACAACACCCAGAGATTGGAACAAGCATCTTCTTCCTTAAATCAAAGAGTTGAATTTGGAGATACATGTCAAGAGGTCTGTGGTGACATCCTCTTCCTACCGATGAGAGAGCGGTGCAGAATCCAACCCAACTATATCCAGGGCCCTGGGAACGGTTTTGTCACCGGGGGGGGGGGGGGGGGGGTAAGAGGACATATATTTTTTTTTTTGGTCCCAAAAATTTTGCAACGACTCATATAGTGATATACATTAAATATATCATACCAGATTTTTTTTGCAGGGGGTGCTATGCCCCCCTGGAAAAATTCCAGGGGTGCTGCAGCACCCCCAGCACCCCTGCTTCCCAGGGCCATGACTATATCAAGTGTCTTAGAGGTTCTCTCACAGAAAGAAGATGTGGGGTCATCTATTTGTGGCATCATGATTCTTAAAACATCTCCTCTCCTCATCATCTCTCCTCCGACCTGATAGATAACCATTGTAGAACTCTTTGGCTGTCATCCTCTTCCTCCCGATGGGTGAGATGGAGCAGAATCCAACCCAGCCATCCTATCATAGAGAGCAAAATAGAATGAGAAATGAATTTTAAGAAACGATAAAATTTTCATAATGATGATGAATGATGAGTGATGCATGCCAGCAGTTCTTGAGATGTTATACCTGATCAAGTTGATCTTAAGCTATTGGAAAGGGTTGTTATTGTAGTATTCAACGTTTCAAAATCAAATATCCACACATGATTCATTATTATTGTAGGATACAGATATATCTGTGAAACATATCATTCTAAGACTGAAAACTTCTCTTATATATATGGATTTTTTGGGAAGCTGCCATTTAATAATTTAAATAATTTATATTCAACAGATCTTTGTTACAAATAAAGCAAAGCAAGACAATCTTCCAAAATTATAATTGATCCAAATAAAAATCAACAACAATAACAACAAAAGCAACAAAACTTTTCTTAATAGTGATTTTTATAAACATACATAAGAACTTGATCATGAAATTGAATGCAGAAAAAATAAATCATTTTAGACTGCAAGTGTCCTGTGATGAATTGCTTTTACAAGATCCCATAGACTACTCTTGCCCAAACTACTCATTCTCAACACAAAGATAAGCACTGAAGATTTAATGAGGAGTGAACCATAAACTCACCTTACATCTTACATAGATGATGCTTTTATTTTGGGGGAAAGAAATGAGACCTGGTTCATCCCCCTCATAGATTGGATGATCTAGATGAAAATTAATAATATATGAGAAGAAAAAAATTGTTGACTAAGGAAAGTATACACACAAAAATGTAATAATCATTTGAATACAATTTATTCTTCTAAAAAATAAATGATGTTTATTGATTAATGATGCACAGTACAACATTTTTCTTATCAGATTATGAATTTGTTTGAATATGTAATTGATTTCAGCATTTACAAATAGAGATTTATTTAGAAAGAGTAAAGGCCTGTCTGAAATACGAGTGTCTTTGTGTGTACTAAACTTCTTGAAGAGACTGATACCATTTCTTTCCCCTAGTGAAATCCCAGAAATTGAAAAATCTTACCTGAGCAATCTGCTGGAGATACCATCTGTTCAAGTCTCAATTCTTCTTCTCCAAAGAGAGATTTCAGGGGCATCTGATGAAACACAATGTTCAAAACATAAATTATATCCAGAGCCCGAGAGTGACAAACACAATGAAAATATCAGGGCAGACATGTTGAAAATGCAAATATACCAGCATTCAATAGACTAGTATGCAGAGTCAAATTCACTTTGAGCATTTTCTCACACATCTATTACAATACTACAAGTCTTGAAGTCTATATAATCGACATAGAAATCAGACAGAGAAGTTGTCTCTACATATAATATATACAAATCTTTTCTTCAACTCATTAATAATTAGTAAATACTTTCTAAATCTTTTTTTATACAGTCACATTTCAAATATCTTTTATTCAAAATTGTCACATACCTGTTCTCCAATGGCCCTGTACAATCTGTCTATTTCCTGAGTTGTAGCTCCCCAGTCTATCCAGGCTAGTTTATTTGGTATTTTGAGTCCTGAAATACAAAGGTCAATGTAACAAATAAATTAACACTCAACTTTATTAACAATGGTAACATAGACCTAGATACAATAGCCTCAAGAATATATTTATATGCATATTTATAAAGGAATGATTTGTCTTCATTACAGCATATCTTGGTGTTTATTGAAATAGTAGCTAGACGAATATGTTTGAGGCTCAACTATCAGAGATGGCTTCAAATGGTTTAATAATGTGCATTTGAACATGATCAGTGACTTGGTTTTGAAATTACAGTAATGTTTCTATTCACAACTTGAATGTTGCTTTAGGCTTACATGTATGTATAGGGGGAATTATCACTGATGCATGTTAAATTGTATAAACATTTGACTCACCTACTGTAGCGCCCTCTTCACTCTGTGGCATTTCATATTCAATAAACTCAGTAAGGTTGTGAAGGACTTCCGATAACTAGAATTAAGATAGGAGATGTAAGGCAAATTAAAGTTTGGAGACATTTACAGTCATAAAAAAATTTAGTTGAGAGATAACATACATTCTAAAGGTCAAAGAATACTAATTTTTAAACATTTTTGTTTTTCCTTTAGCTTTTAGGTAATTGAATATTAAACATAATAGCAAAATAGCAAAATAATAAATTAGAAATCTGCACATATCTGAAAGCAGAAGCAAAAAGGAAATAAGCAACTCTTTCTTTCCTTGAAATGTAAGTTGCAATTAAATACACTTATTTCTCTTGGACTTGGTGAAGTCATAATTTGATATGTTCAATATGGGTATGAACTTCAAAATCAATAATAAATTGATCTGAACAGTGAAATCAAAGTGACCATTTAAACAAATGTACTAATATTGGTTACATAGAGTTGGATCATTACAATATAGTACATACTAAACCATCCATATCAACCTACTATTTATATCCTATTAAATTCTTTATATCAAGTTCAAACATACCAATTCTGAACCCTTTTTGGCAAGAAGATGGGTAAGACTTTTTGTTGTACTGTTGCTTGGAACATTGTACTCCCTCTGAAGAAGGATGGGTCCAACATCAAATCTGCAATGAAAAGGAGAAATAAAAGAATATTATAAGAGTGCCTGCTTGTGAGAAATACTAAACAATGATAGTTCATCTGCACAAGAACTCAGAAATTCATCAGGTTAATGGCAAGCCTTCCCTCTGAGAGTAAGTTTGGTGATACTTGGCTTATCAAATATTGGATAGCTTCATGATGAAAATGAATAATTAAATGGATAAATACTTAATGATGGTGATATTTAAAGCATATGTAACAAGAAAAAGGATACAAAAATGAACACTTTTATGAATATGGTTCAATTAGTCGGCGATTTGAAATAGAGGGCAGTATACACATACTGGTATGCATACTGGTACAATGAAACACCCACTTATAATACATTCAAAAATTAATATATCCATTCCTGCTACATATATACTGCCATCTGTGGTGAGGTGCTAAACATTCATATCATTACAAATCTACTAGTAGTATGTTAGTGGCTGATACGTGACAGGTATTTTCTTGCAAATTTTTGCTGCTGGCATAAAATTGCCTCTCCAAACTACAAACCTCATATGAATTTGGAGTGTTTAAAAGTTACTTGTAATAGTTTCAATGACACATATACACAATGAAAAGACAACACTAATTACACTATACTTGAAGCCATAAGAACCAGTTGTACCTGTATGGGTGGATTCTCATGATGGAGACCCCAGTGACTTCATCACCATTGAGTATAGTATGCTGGATAGGTGCACCTCCCCTCCATCTAGGCAGGAGACTGGGATGCACATTGAGTATACCTCTGAACAAATATCAATTGATGAGTTGTTAATTTGTATCATTCATCAAAATTGAAAAGTGAGACACTGGTGAACACAACATAAATGGAAATATGCTCAAATATGAAATCATAGAGATGCCAATATGTCTTTAATTGATCATGACCTCATAATTGTTTTAATTTCTTTTCCTTCATCATAATTTGTTTCTACCTTCCTTTTTGGGTTTTGATGAAAACCAACATGATTTCAAGTTGGACTCTTCCCCTTAAATTAAGCATTTCATATTTACTGGCCTTTCCAATGCACTGTTGTATGAAACAGAAGAAATCAAACCTTACTTGGCATTCTTCAGGTATATTCCTCAACATAACATTGTATTACCCCCGAGAAGAGAATGAACCAAATGCTCTTACAGTGGAAAACTATTGATGAGCCACTCTGGTAGTAGATGGCCAAAAGAGACTGTGATCCCAACATCGAACCCAGATATGTTATCATCCAGAGGCCATTGGTGACAGGTGAGATGCTGTTCTTGACAAAACTCCCAGACTGGAGATGGTTTTCTGGTTTTACCTCGCCGTTTGATGAACTGTGTAATAAACATTTAATAACATTGGTTTCTATTTTTTCCCTCGAACAGCCAAAAAGTCATATTGAATATGTGTTTTTGTTTACTGAAACCTAGGAAGAAAACATATTTTCCACATTAATCGTGTCAAAATACTGGTATATCTAAACAAAATGTAAACATAAGAAATACCTTAAAAACTTTCTTTAAAAAAAAATACTTATTAGTATGTTCTATAGAAGGTCACAAGATCATATAGAAAAAAGGTGACACTAATATTTACAACATACACCATACAACTGAGAGAATTTAACTGGTGAACATACAATAATAAGATATTACAGTTTTGAAAGGGCACTTATATTTACAATTTTCATTCCTTTTGAACAATAAAATGTGATTGTTAGTACAGCTTAAGCATCTAGTCAGGCAAAACACTTAAAGTATGAGTCTTACCGTGCTTTGTGGAACTACAACTTCAAGCTTGTCAATCAAGTGGCCATTCTGTCTGGAAACAAAAGAAAATAGTATTTTAAAAAACAATCAGCTTCCATATGTTTTGATGCTTTTTACCTTGATTGCATCACTATAGAAACTGACACCTTCTTTTAGAAATACACAAAATCTGAAGTATCTGTGTTTTCACACCTTCAGATTCAGATCATGTTAAATGTACTTGTAAATACTTCATGCCCCTATCTAGACAATCATAAAAAAAGTGCTTGTATTATCTGTCTACTGAAATTTTCTTCCTGAAAAGGCATATAGTTTAGAGGCATGTACATTTGTAGGAGTCGAGTCATATTAATCAGTGATTTTTTCCTCACCTCTCGATATTTTAAAAATAAATTAAATCTTCCCTTTACCAAAGTCCCATTTTTGCATTACAAAACACTGTAACAACAACAACAAATGCTTTAGTGGTTTTTAATTGTTCTTCATCATTATTATTATTTTTTGGTAATAATTAGCAAAGTGGAGTCAATTTAAAAAGAGGGCAGAATTCTGTAGACTGAACAAAGTATCTGGTAATAAAACATTCAATCAAATGGCAATGAGGATTTAATACCCCTTTACTTATCCTTCATCTTATCTTTTACAATGTGGCCGTTTTCTTACCTTGATTCTTCCATAAGCTGCAAATGAGGAAGTGAGAAATGATCAGTCCCGAAGAACATCACATTCCATCTCCGATCCTGGCCTGTCTGACAGTGAACATGACACTGTCTCTGAGCGAAAAGAACCTTTCCTATGTTCTTTGTCCTGTGAAGTCTTAAACAGTTGCTATGGTGACTTGTAAGAAACAGGCCAATCGAGAAAACACCTCTTTTCAGCATTACATGTGGCATTGTGATAAAGATCTGCTTCATCTATGCATGGATCAGCTGCCAATGTTATGTTTGTTTTGTCTCAGTTGAAGTACATCCATCCCAGCTTGACTTGAAAATTCTGATAGAGTTCTATTCAGCCATGGGGAAGAAGAGAAATTATAAAAAATGTACATACAATGTAGGAAGAAAAACACTTGGAGACAAACTGTAGACCCTATTCATCATCAAATGTGAAACACTTACTATGAAAATAACAAAGATAACAAGATTAAAGCCATACTATACAAGAAGCACTGCCACAAAAATATGTTTTGGTGAGATAAATCTCGCTCAAATGATACACAGAATACAGAATTAAACATCTTTTATGGGTATATTGTATCCCCGAGATAAAATAAATATCAAAGTACTACCAGCCCCCGATATATTTGTTCACATAAAAAAACAGATTCAAATATAGGAAAAGTGAAGGGTAGATAGACCCAAACAAGCAATTTGCAACACAAACAGAATACCAACCGTACCAAGATATCTCAGCAATAAAATGAACTATGTCAATCTTAAATGGACAATTGAGAGTAATATTGCATATGCAAACAAATCCAAAGCCACAGCCCAGAACTGGAGTTCAAATTTAGATAACTTCTTCTGAAATTGAAAACCATTGAAATTGAAAATAATATCTAGACAGCAACAGACATTATTCAAATGATTGTGAAATGGTCATATAATTCATGAAAATCTTGTTTTTTAAAATCATTGGATCCACCAAGTGCCTCTGGCTCTTATCAGGAAATTTAGAGAATAAACGAGAACTAAAATTTTAAAAAATACGAGAAAATCAACGAGTGGGACTGACGTTCGGCAACTGTTGTAAATCTTCTTCTAAAAATTGCTTAATAAAAATATCAAAGTAAAAAAGCCTCAGTTCTTCGTAATAACCTAAAAGGTATTAATCTTTCGTAAATACATAACTATTTACCTCGAATCATGCGAAGATACGGACTTCTATTCTATCCAAAGCCCTACCCAGCTTCTACTTGCAACCGACCGCCGAGAGATGGCGAGAACTTGGTCCTGTCTCTTGGTCATGCGAAACGCAAACAAGGACACTAGACTACGCAATTTTGCATCTACAAATATACTGGCTTATTTTTAGTAGGATAGGGAAGGTTTCTTCTATCTTCTTTTTCTTCTTCTCTCTTCTTCTTCTTCTTCTTCTTCTTCTTTTTAACCATTAACCAAAACAAAATAACTTAAAGGTACATGCATTTAGATTATTGAGCAGTGGCAGATCCAGGTGGGTCTTTAAAAAATAAAAAAAAAGGGGGGGGGGGGGGGAAGGAAAAAAGAGAAAATAAAGAGATAAGGAGGTAAAAGAAAAAATCGAAGAGAGGAAAATTAAGGAGAGAGAGAGAGAGAGAGAGAGAGAATTGATTTTCGACGAATTGATCGAAGGGGGTTTAGAGATATGAGTGTGAGGTATTGTGAATGGATATTTGAAAGCGTGTTCACTCGTCACACAACATAACTCTTATTTTTATTTTAGCTACGAGGAAGCAAGGTTGCACTGACAATAAAATACATGAAAGAAAGTATTCCCTTTTCGTTAATTTATTGGGTACTGAACAAAGCTGACAACGCACTTGCAAAGTGCAGTCAAGCAAATATAGCAGACTTGAAAATGTGAATATTGCACGTAGTTACATTATGATTAAGGATGAGAATGAACATGAATAAATGTGATGTACATAATGAATGAAAGCTTACGACAGAATAGAAAGGGCGTCGAAAGTCCAATGAAGATGAAGAGAGTTCAGAACGAAGGAAGGGGCTCACGCGATGAATGTTGCGGAGGCTTGAAGGCGGAGATGCAGCTTCGTATTCGTGGCTGAAGAGCGGTGAAGGATCTCGACGCTGACGCTCGTGATAAAGATGTGGTTGAAGCTCTCAGGCGAGAAGAGAAGAGAAGAGAAGAGATGTGGCGCTCGACGACGAAGAGTGAATCGCTTGATGTCGGAGGCAAGTAGAAATGTAGAAATGTAGACATGCAAAGCCGGTACTGGTGCTGAGTAGTAATAGTTGCTCGTTTGATGCGCCGGACTTTGATGAAGAAATGTTTAGATGAGCTGCGGTGAAATGATGAGCTCGTGAGTGGAAAGAGCTACCGGAACGAAGACACTGGCAGCTCCCAGCGGAGAGTCAGGCGCCATGTCGGTGCTGACTATAACGTTCCACTGGGAGACTGCAGCCCGATGAACACGGCAGGGAAAGAGTAGACGTGCCGTAGAAGAAACGACAGGCACAGAAGAATAAAGCCTGGAGAGGAAATTATGGAGACGTCTTGACTCGACCAAGGTGGAAGCGGGAGTGGAGAAAAACCTCGTGGAGTTGAAAATACGCGGGTGAACGATGCGCGGAACCACGATGCTCGATTGGAGGAATGACACACGTGGTCCGAATAATGCATATAAATAAGTACCGTGATGGAAAAATACAGGAGACATGAATGTACAGTGAAAGTAGGGCGAATGTAAGTAGGGCGAATGTAAGAGCCGCTACATTACTCCCCTGCCAGAATTGAAGCTGTGTATGCAATACACAGATGAAAGGCGATAATATATAAATGAGCAAAGTACAAAATGTCACAAGAATCAATGGCTGATAAAAATGTAAAAGTGCATGTATTGTATAGTGTATGCAGTAATTTACAGCAGCCTAAGAAATATACAAGCATGGCATGTTGAAAGAATTGAATACAACAAGCATGGTATGCGAACGGCTGTTTAGTTGCCAAAAATAGAACAATGAGTATTGACATGGTATGCATTGAACAAGCGGGTATAAAATTTATGCAAGAGCATAAAAAAAAACATTCGATACAAAATCCAGAATGAATACATTTGATAAAACATTGCTAAGTCCAAAAGGTCTGGGAATAATAAATTCGTACAACCAAGCTTCCAAGTAAACTCGGGGTCACCACTTTAGAGATATGAGTGTGAGGTATTGTGAATGGATATTTGAAAGCGTGTTCACTCGTCACACAACATAACTCTTATTTTTATTTTAGCTACGAGGAAGCAAGGTTGCACTGACAATAAAATACATGAAAGAAAGTATTCCCTTTTCGTTAATTTATTGGGTACTGAACAAAGCTGACAACGCACTTGCAAAGTGCAGTCAAGCAAATATAGCAGACTTGAAAATGTGAATATTGCACGTAGTTACATTATGATTAAGGATGAGAATGAACATGAATAAATGTGATGTACATAATGAATGAAAGCTTACGACAGAATAGAAAGGGCGTCGAAAGTCCAATGAAGATGAAGAGAGTTCAGAACGAAGGAAGGGGCTCACGCGATGAATGTTGCGGAGGCTTGAAGGCGGAGATGCAGCTTCGTATTCGTGGCTGAAGAGCGGTGAAGGATCTCGACGCTGACGCTCGTGATAAAGATGTGGTTGAAGCTCTCAGGCGAGAAGAGAAGAGAAGAGAAGAGATGTGGCGCTCGACGACGAAGAGTGAATCGCTTGATGTCGGAGGCAAGTAGAAATGTAGAAATGTAGACATGCAAAGCCGGTACTGGTGCTGAGTAGTAATAGTTGCTCGTTTGATGCGCCGGACTTTGATGAAGAAATGTTTAGATGAGCTGCGGTGAAATGATGAGCTCGTGAGTGGAAAGAGCTACCGGAACGAAGACACTGGCAGCTCCCAGCGGAGAGTCAGGCGCCATGTCGGTGCTGACTATAACGTTCCACTGGGAGACTGCAGCCCGATGAACACGGCAGGGAAAGAGTAGACGTGCCGTAGAAGAAACGACAGGCACAGAAGAATAAAGCCTGGAGAGGAAATTATGGAGACGTCTTGACTCGACCAAGGTGGAAGCGGGAGTGGAGAAAAACCTCGTGGAGTTGAAAATACGCGGGGTGAACGATGCGCGGAACCACGATGCTCGATTGGAGGAATGAACACACGTGGTCCGAATAATGCATATAAATAAGTACCGTGATGGAAAAATACAGGAGACATGAATGTACAGTGAAAGTAGGGCGAATGTAAGTAGGGCGAATGTAAGAGCCGCTACAGGGGCATTACAAATTTCAAGGCATAGATTAGAGTTCCTATCGCTCAAGACGGCGATCTTTAAGGCTTTTTATTGCTAAAACCTATATGAGCGTCCAGGTCCACCTCTAACCCCCCCCCCCCCCCCCTGCATCTGGATCCCATGTAATTGTCTTTTGGAGAGATTGTGTATGTAAGAGGGAATTGATTTTCAACGAAATAAACCAACAGGCAGGGGCGGTGATTTTGTTTTCTAAACTTCAGGGGATGGCCCTCCAATATGTCCAGGGAGAGGCGTACCCCACCGCCCTTTGAATGGATGACCCTGCAATAAGTCCTATGGGAGTTTACATCGTCTGGCACTAATAAACTGCAGGAGAATCTTTACCTTTGTAATATCTCCTAAAATATTGTGAGCTACTAGTATGCGAGGAAGTGAGAAAAAAAACAATTCAAACTCTTTGGATGGTGAAACTTAATGCATGTTAAACCAATTTGGAGCCTAAATACTGTAAATTGTGTTGCAGCCGTTACTCATATTACTATAAATATACATACTTTTTTGTATTTTGGAAAATCCCCAGAAAAAACACGTCCCCTGTCCCCCGTTCCCCGTAAAAAGTCACAGTTCGTAGAAGAAGAAAAAAAATCACCTCTGGAATCATGGACTTGCCCTATATTGACTCTTACAGGCAAACATTCATTGTGAAAAGAAATAACAAAGATTGGGCACCGATAAAGCAGATTTGCATACTAATCGTTTCAAAGTGTTTTCTTTTCATTCCGATTAGTGGTACTGCTTAGGTATGTTTCAGGCTTGGTGATCGGTCAATCATTTGGGATGAGGAATGTTACGACGGGGACAATGACTTCCCCCATCATGATAAAGCCGTCTTTCAGAGATGGACAAGCAAGATCAGAATGGCCTAAAGCTGGTTAAGATGACAGTTTTATCAATTGATTCTTATCTAGTCCAGTGATCAGATTCAATAGGAGAATCTCTCAACATAATCTGCTATCAAACCGACAATCTTCTATCAAACCAACAATCTTCACCGACCTTCCATCTTGTCTTGCGCAGTTTTCGGTGAGTGAACACCATCTTCTTTGGCTCTGTCTCATCTACGGGATTTATGTTCCAATGTCTACCGGAATATGACTGTTTCGATAACTATGTTTCTATCAGTGCGATATATGACTCGTTATCTTGGGTATGATTGCAATTTCCTCGTATGTATATTATTATGCACCTTTATACATTTCTTCTTCTCCATTTGAGTACATCCATCTTTACAGAGTATTGTCGTACTATACTGGGGTGTACGGGTGGACCACTACATCGGGGTTACCCCCTACGAATAGAGATAGCCTCATAAATATGTGAGTGGATTATTATGCGTTTAGATGCCTATTTATTAAAATTATTAATATTATGAATGATTGTGTATAGCCTAAAAATATTGATACGATTGAAATGTGAAGTCATCTGTAAAAGAGCCTGGTTATGTTTAATATCGTTGTGATTTTCATTGTTCTTCAACAATTCCGGCGCCAAAAAGTTAACGCCATTTTATGCATTCATGCGCTGTATACGAATATAGTGTACGTATATAGATCTAGGCCTCAAATACAGTATGGCCATATCTGTTCATTTATATGAATGAATTTTTGTTGTTGTATATCCACGGGATTGTTGTTTTTATTTTGTGACATTCAATTTATTTTGATTTTCACGTAGTTGTATCCGTATTTTTTTTGCTTCTCTTGGCTCTTTAAAGGCTAAGTAGAATTTAGTGTTGGTATATTTGAACAAATATTTGTAATGCTAGTTGAGTCAGGTGCTGATTATTTTTTATTTCTTCTGTACGCCTTTGAGGCTTAGTAGAATTTAGTTTAGGTAGTTCCAGGCTGGGAGATGGTGGCCTGTGAATGATGAGCATACCGGGCACCGCCCCTTAAACTGTAGGTTTAAAAAAAAAGAATATTTGCAATGCTTAGTTTAGTCAGGTATTGATTTTTT